CCGTATTCTCCTCGTTTCTTCACAAGGGATACCGGTACCAACCAATGTGCCACATCAACGTAGCTACTGCTTCAACCGTATCGGTCTATGCCGTACAGTTCCCTCACAGTTTATTGCTACTTACCTAAAAGTTATCCCCCAGATCCAGGTTAGGATCTATAGTAACTCCCAATACAAAACCTTTAAAAGTAAAGCAACCAAGACAAACAAGAGAAGAAAATATGATGAACTAAATCCTAAGGTATACCCCACTTATTTATTCCCCAGCAGAGTCGCCAGTTCTGTGATACGGTGGCAGAACCAGACTGTTTTAGGAAAATGCTGGTTTGTGTTTTGCATTGTGTTCACAAAATGTCGCTGTAAGCAAGAGTCGCCACCGACTTTTATTTTATCCAAACTGGAAAGGAAAAAAGCACAGAAAAATTCCTTTTTCGAGATATTCTGAGTATGGGGGTAGATTATAGAATGGGAAGGTATTAACACCCGTTCTATCCGTAGTTTTCTACGGGCTCTTAGGTAGTTGCTCATCATTTTAAAAATTGCTTTCGTGTTTGTGTGTTTTGAAAAAAAATTGTTTTACTTCGTTTTAACCCTTGTATCAGTCCTCAAGAGTGTTACGAAGTTGTCTTTTGAAAACTTTGTTTGAAAAGTGTTTGGTGTGAAAAAAGTTTGATTTTGAACAAGTACCTATATTCTTGACTCACCGGAGAGGCCCCGGAGCCCTAGATCCGGTCACCTTCTCCGGTAGCCTCCTCCCCTGAAACTTTCTTAAACTTGTGAATTCAAACGTTAGTTGGACCCTTCCCCCCTAATTCAAGGGTTGTGGATCCAATGGTATGGTCCTCTTGGCCTGAAACGCCCTGCAAATGGTGTTATGAGAAAAATGCACAACAACGGTCAACAATGGCAAATGATTACCCGCACGTCCCAATTCACATGTAAGGGTATCAACCTGTTCTAAACAATCATACTAGAAGATTCAGGTTATTATGATTCCTGAACCATGCATGTAATTCAGAATACGATTAATCAAAAAGAAAGCAAATTGGTCATGATGTATGCGATGATTTCAAGTACAAACAAGCATGGGAATTCAATCTATCTTACCCTGAAGATGTCCTGGAGATGATTTATGGCGATGGTTTGCTTGAAAAGAGGCAGGATATCATAGAACAACTTTGCACCTTTTGTGGAAATTCTTGAACTTTTTGTCTTGGTTTGGAGGAAGCTTTCTGTGTTCTATTGGTCTAGGGTTGATGTGCTTATGTAGCAAATCACTTTAGGTCAACAATTGTAGAAAAAATCCAATTGATCAATGCTCTTTTAAAATGTAAATATTTTGATTCAAATCTTTCCAAAAGAAAAGATCCACTTCCTTTTTCACTCCACATGGTTTTGATAGCTGGCTATGATCTCTTTGGTTTAAAAAAGATTTGCATATTATATATCTTACATATTCTTGCATTTATTTAGTATTTATTTAATTTATTTGAATAAAATCAAGATAAATAAAATTAAAAATAAATAAATTAATGCATAGACATGTTTAGAGATCCTTATATGCATCATGAACACGTTTGGACTCTAAAAATTGGGCCCAATAGCTCAAAAATACAAATTTGCCCAATTGAGATTTCATGCATTCCTTGAAAATTGTCCAACTTGTGTAATCCTTATCTCTTTCAATTTTAACTCTAAGAGGGTTTTATTAGACTTTTATAGAGCTTAGGATGTCCTATAAACAACCCTTTTGGTTTTATCTTAATTGGATCTTCCATGTTCATGTAAGGAGCTTTGACACAAAAGGTGTATGTGTTGACTTTTAGAAAGGACCTATAATGTATGAGCTTGTATCTTTTTATTGGGGCATTTTTTTAACTTGAGGGATGAATAGAAGTTGTAGGGAATTGGATTATTTTCAAAATGAGCCTTGGTGGAAAAATTTCTGATAAAGTATGAGAAAGTTATGCTTGGTCAAAGTTTGGTTGACTTTTCCTATAGAAACCCTAATTTGCCATTTTTGACTTTTGATGAGTTAGGATCATTTCTTGAGGAATCATGATAAACCCTTGATAAAATGATGTATATTGCTTCAAAATATTGATGTTGACCAAAAATCTTGAAGTTTAACTGTATTTGGGCCACAATTGACTTTTGACCTAGTGTAGTTGATTTTCAGGCATTTGAGCAGTTGACTGAGCAAACTTGTCATGTAGGGCATAAAATTTAGCATGGATAACCTTGAGGACATATTAGGACAATGGAGAACATTTGGGATCCTTGGGACTCACACATCTTGCTTAAAATTGAAACCCTAGTTGAGGTTTATTACCTTAGGAGGAGAATTTGTCTGGTCAATTCTTGGTCATCCTAGGGCAAGATGGGGACCTCTAGAGGCATGTCTTGAGTGAAATCATAGGGAAAATTTTGGGGTACAATAGTCTTCAACAATGTTCATGTCAATTTTCAAGTCTTGTATCACAAGTTTGCTCAATCAATGGCTCAGATGATTGAAAATTAATTGTATTGGGTAAAAAGTCAACTATGGGCAACATACAGTCAAACTTTAAGATTTTTGGTTAACATCCAAATTTTGAAGTGATATTCATCATTTGATCAAGCATTGATCATGATTCCTCAAAGAAATCCCTTAAATCTTTAGAAGTCAAGAATTTCTAAATTAGGGTTTTCCTTAGGAGAAGTCAACAGAACTTTGACCAAGCATAACTTTAACAGGCTTCATCAACTTTCCCCCAACTAAAGCTTATTTTGAAGGAAATTCAATTCTATAAAAATTTGTATTTATGCTCAAGTATAAAAAGTGCTTCATTTGAAAGATATGAGCTAATACATTACAGGTCATTTATAAAAGTCAACAAAAAAACACTTTTTTCAAACAAACTTACATCAAGATAAAGTCTCCAAATGCAAAATGATCAAAATAGAAATTATAGAGGAAATCTTGAGCATTTCAAAAAGTCAAAGATCACCTTCAAGAGATGAAAATTGAACAAATTATGAGTTGCACAAGTTGGGAAATTTTAAGGAAATGCAAAATGTGCAAACTTGAAATTTTGGACTTGTGACCTAACTTTTTGGGCTTCAAACATGTCAATGACCTTATAAGAGACTCTTAAGCTCACTCATATCTTGCCTGATATTTTATTAATATTTTACTTATATTTATTTTTGTTTTATTTAAATAAATTCAAAATAACTAAATAAAATAGAAAACCTTTAGGCCAAGCACATGATGGACTTTCTTAAAGCCTAATACAGCTCATGTTAGCCCGTTAGAACATGCCAAATGCATGCAAGGGTTCAAGAAGGCAAGAAAATCTCAAATTTGGAAAGTTTTAAACATGTTTGATATTGTTTTATTAGAGCCATCATGATTTGATTTTATTCCATCTTCGGTGAGCCATTTGTTTCCTCTATATAAAGACAAGCTAAGTTAATGCAAAGGACACGAGATTCCTTCTTAAAACAGCTTGCAAAACTATCACATTTTATCAAAAAACCTAAGTTCCAAAAACAACCGCTACAAGCCTTCTCTTTCCATAATTCCAATTCCACTCATCTCCTAGAACATCAAAAGGTAGGTTTGGATCAATCATGATGATCCTGCACGCATGAAACTGCATATCATCACCTTGCCAGTTTTCACGTTTTTTGAAAATCATATATCTAATCTTGCTTTACTTTAAGTCAATTTGATGTTTCAAATGTGATTTTGAGCCATGTCTGAACAAGTTTAGACCGCCAAAATATTCCCATGCACGCAGGTTTAATAAACATTGTGTTTGTCTCCAATCGGTGTAACCTAGTTCGAAACACACGATCCAAGGGTTTTTAGCCAAAAATAAGGCCAGATTTGGAATCATGGGGTTTGAATTATGGAGGTAGCATGTATTTCTACGTTTAAATCTAACATTTTTGCAGGTTCTGGATTTTGGTTCGCCGGAGAAGACGACTGGAGCTAGGGCTCCGGCGCTTCTCCAATCATATAATTCATGCTTTCTTTTTATTATTTTTGTTTGATTAATTTACCAGATGAAATGACTGCCCCAGTGGCAAGCACGTGTGTCTTAAGGCTTTCGAGTGCCAGGACACAGGTTCGATCCCTGCCTCTGGCATATTATTTTTCAATGTTTTCCTTTTAGATCACAGAAAATAGGAGGGTCAAAATTCTATAATAAAATCTACATGATATTTTAAATAATTCAAAATTTTTAAAAAAATCACAGAAAATAAAATATAATAAATATATATATAAAATAGGAGGGTCCCTCCTTGGCGGATGTGATAAATATTTTATTTTTTTTGAAAATATAATGTTTTAGGATTTATTTAAAAAATGTGATAATTTAGTATTAAAATTAGAAAAATGTGATATATTCGTAAAAATTTATGAAATCCCAAACAGTCACAATTTTGGAGATATATGCTATAATTTAGAAAATGTTAGGCTCAACAAAGCATTCCTACGTTAAATACTGTTTTTTTTTTTGTACATTTTAATCATCGATATTGTTGTGACATATGTCACATGTGTGGGTAACGAACAACGTAGAAACTCTGCCATTCACACTGTCAATGTCAATGTTGTACCCACCAATCCATGTGCCATTATAACAAGGATAACTTTGATAAACAATAGTACTAAAGTAATACTAATAATTTTAATAAGATGTAATAAATACGAAAAATAATCATTCATAAGTTTGTTCTCATTCTAAATCTGATCAAATGTAGAATTTTTAATTTTAATATTGATGATAATTACATAATAATTTTTAATGAGACATTACTTCACCTAACATTAAACTTTCTCACCTATAAACTACATTATAATAGTATTATATGATTTTTTTTGGACAAAATACTATACACAAGTGTGGTGTCTATAAAAAGACATATGGTATATTATATATCACCCATTATGATTGAGTCTGCTGAAGACAAGTTTCCAATTTGAAAATTTTCTTCTTTTATTTCAAATGGAATTTGGAAGCATATTGCACTTTCTTGAGGGAAGAACAATTTTAGTCACTGGTGCCACTGGTTTTCTTGCAAAAAGTACCTTTCTTTCCCCCTCTCTCTCTAACCATATGGTTTAATTATATATATTGTACATGCATTGAGAATCTAATAGAGCTTAATCTTATCCAATATTTTTATACTAATTAGTTATATGATTTTGCAGTTTTTGTGGAAAAGATATTGAGAGTTCAACCAAATGTGAAGAAATTTTATCTTCTTTTGAGAGCTAATGATTCTGAATCTGCTGCTCAACGTTTCCGCACTGAGGTATCGAACTACATAATTAACTCTATTTTCAATTCAACTACATAATTAATTGTAAAACTTACAATTTAAACGCGATATAAAAGAAATATTAGTTATTTTTTCACTATTATATGCTTATTAATCTCAAGTTATTTAACTATTGTGTTAATTACAATTAATAAAAATATTTTAGTAATAATATATTATATTATATTATATTATATTACCATTTAAATAAACTCAAGTAATGATTTTCTTAAACTTGCATACATTTTTAATGAAACATTTTTTATGTGTATATGTAGATCATAGGAAAGGACTTGTTTAAATTGGTGAAGGAAAATCAAGGTTTAAATTTCAACTCTTTTGTCTCTGAAAAGTTGACTCTTGTGCCTGGAGACATTTCTCAAGAAGGCTTGAATTTGAAGAAATCCATTCTAGAAGAAGAGATTTGCAATCAAGCAGATGTTATAATCAACTTAGCTGCAACAACAAAATTTGATGAAAGGTAAAATAATTTATTACAACCTTGTGTGTTTTAATTTTGAACTAATTTTTCATTAGTTTTTATTAAATGCAGGTACGATGTTGCTTTGGGTATAAACACATTAGGAGTCAAACATGTTTTGAGCTTTGCCAAAAAATGTGTTAATCTAAAGGTGCTTGTGCATGTGTCAACAGGTTAGTATAAGTACATGCCCTAAAAATGTATCTATATAATAAAGTCAAAATTTCATACATATTAAACCTTTTGTATTCGAATATGCATGTATCAATAAAGGTGTCTTTTTTAGTTACATTTGTTGCAACTTAATTATTAGGACTATTTATATTTTTCTTGAATTTACTATTAAAGTATGAATAGTGCTAACAAAATTTACACAATGTTAGGTATTAGGTAGAGGTTGAGCTAACTCATATGATTCAATGATGCAAATCTCATAAGTTTGAGCTTTAAAATTAAAGTCTAAATTTCGTAAGACTTTTTAATCTCTTTTTAAAGTGTGCTACCTATTACAACTATTTAGTACATTCCTGCAGGTAACTAGTTTGACTTGCATAGCTATAAAATAAATAAATAAAACTATAGCTATAAAATTTAAATTTTTTTACTAATAATTATGTTATTTTATTTAAAAGCAACTTATTAAACCATTTTTCTTTATTAAATTTTATCTTTTCTATTGTATTCAATCTTTCCATATTAAATACTATACAATTAAATTAATATTTAAGTTTCACTTCTCAACTTGTTAAATTATTTTATTTGAGTAATATAGCATTTAAAAATATATTTTGTTTAAAATAATTTATTTTATATATTGTATTTATAATATATATTATGAGATTTTTTGTTTTATTTTGAATAGAAAATACTAATAAAATGGTTTGTTTATTGTCGGATAATTCACAAATCATCTAGAGTTGGATTCAAGTAATATATTTGAATCCATATTATAACTGATTTTTTTAGTCCAACCCTATAAATTTTGTTTGTGTATTTAAATTGGATTGTTGTTTAACACATACCAATACCTATATATTTTTAATGGATTAATATGTTTCTTACAACACAAGTTAGTATATATATTTCTTTTAGGTCCATACAAGCATCTTGTGAACAAAATATCAAAAAATTTCCTTGTTATTGCTATGATTTGCAGCTTATGTGTGTGGTGAGAGAGGAGGACTCATATTAGAGGATCCTCATCCCTTTGGAGTGTCACTAAATGGAGTACAAGGACTAGACATTGATATGGAAAAGAAATTGGTGGAGGAGAAACTGAATCACCTCCAAGCAAAGGGAGCAACTGAACATGACATTAAAGTTGCCATGAAAGATTTGGGTATTGAAAGGTACTTGTACGCTCTCGAAGACGACCCCTAACAAATAATGGTGTCAGATGCCTAGAATAATAGTAACTTATTATAACTTTTTGAATATCTTATAGTCTAAAAAATACAAAAAAAGTTGAATATGTGTTTGGTTTTGTATCTTAATGAATTTATCAGAGCAAGTGAATATGGATGGCCAAACACATATGTGTTTACAAAAGCAATGGGAGAAATGCTTGTTGAAACCTACAAGGAAAACATGTCTGTTGTTATTGTTCGTCCTACCATTGTTACTAGTACTTATAGAGAACCTTTCCCTGGTTGGGTTGAAGGCTTAAGGTAAATAATGACCAAATTAAATGATATTCTAGAATTTTTTTGAATAATATTCAATATTAATCTATTATAAAATTATCTAATTATTATTGAGAATTTTTCTACAGAACCATAGATAGCATAGTTGCTGCTTATGGTAAAGGAAAATTAACAAGCTTCATGGTAGATCTCGATGCAGTTATCGACGTGGTGAGTGACCATGTCATTATTTTTCTTTTGGTTCTATAAATTGATATATTAATATTGATGTTGAATTTTGAGCAGATACCAGCAGACATGGTGGTGAATGCAATGCTAGTAGCTATGGTGGCTCATGCAAATCAACCTAGTGATAATTTCATATATCATGTAGGTTCCTCCTTTAGGAATCCGATTACATACCGCACTTTTCAAGATTTTAACTATCGATATTTTACGGCAAAGCCGTGGATAAACAAGGAAGGAAAAGCTGTTAAGGTTGGCAAAATCACAATGTTTAGCAGCGCTGCTAGCTTCAAGAGATACATGTTCATACGTTACTTGCTTCCTTTAAAGGTACTTAACTACTTTATATCATCAGACACTACACACATAGATGCGCTGACACCAATAATAATTTAAAAAATACGGACAGACACTATTTTTTTTTAGAAGAGGTGAATGTAACAAAATTGTATTTAACAGGGACTAGAGTTGGCAAATTCAATTTTATGCCAATATTTTCATGGAATATATCATGAACTTAACAGGAAAATCAGTACTGTTATGCGGTTGAGTGATCTTTATCTTCCTTACTTGTTCTTCAATGGCATGTGAGTTCATTTATAATTAAGACCTAAATCAAAATATGATACTACAACATTTGTTTCATAATTTACTGAGAATGTTTATTTTGTATACAGATTTGATGATATGAATACTGAAAAGTTGTTATTAGCTGCAAAACAAGGAGGTGTTGAAACAAATATGTTTTACTTTGATCCTAAGATTATTGATTGGGATGATTACTTCATGAATATCCATTTTCCTGGAATCTTCAAGTATGCATTCAAGTGATGTGATTACATATTTGTATTGGCAATTGTTGATTTTTATTTATGTCATAAATTAAGCTTGTATTTCCATTGGATTCAAATTAAATTTGTGTTACTTATATATTATGTGTTGATTTGTAACAGATTATTAAATGTTATATAACTATTAATGGTATTATGAGTTGATTTGTAACAGATTATTAAATGTTACTATATAACTATTGATGGTATTATGTGTTGATTTGTAACAGATTATTAAATGTTATATAACTATTGATGGTATTATGGGTTGATTTGTAACAGATTATTAAATGTTACTATATAACTATTGATGGTATTATGTGTTGATTTGTAACAGATTATTAAATTTTATATAACTATTGATGGTATTATGGCTTGATTTGTAACAGATTATTAAATGTTATATAAGTATTGATGGTATTATGTGTTGATTTGTAACAGATTATTAAATGTTATATAACTATTGATGGTATATATGTCAAATGTTAATTTTACCATGTATTTCATATTTTACTTCTTTACTACTCTCTTGCAAAAGATTGCTTGTAAACAGCTAGTACACATTATCTCAATGCAATTGCACAATTATGTTAATGTGTATTAAAACTTTAAAGGGTGATTCAAATTAGTGAGTTAGGGCAGTTTGTTTTAACTTTTAAAAAAATTGGATTTAAAAAAAATGATTTATATAAAAATGTTTTTTAAAATATTAAAATTATTTTTAAGTTTAATTTTTATAAATTGAAATATTAAATTTGACATTCTATAATATAAATATACATTATTGAAAATTAAAATATAATTAAAATCACAATTTAAAAAAGAACAATCTCAAATGGTCTTTATGAAAATCTATTTTAAATAAATTCAAATTTAAGTGATTTTTTGAAATTTTGATATCCAAACAAAATTATAGCAAATGATGAAATACCTAAAATACCATTTTAAAAATAATTGTTTAAAGTAATTTTTTATTTAAAGTTTTAAAAAAAAACCTTTGTGAATTTTTTTCAACAAAAATATTTCACACTATAAAAATCATTTTTAAAAAAATTGAAACAAACGAACTTTTAGTTGTGTTCCTTACTATACCAATAAAAATTAATTAGTTAAGTCATTCGCCAAGATAATTAATCAATTAGGTTCAAAAACATCCTTCTTGGCCTAATTAATCCCCAAAACAATCACTAAACCTTAGATGAATTCAAGCTCATATGCCCTGTATCCAGTCTATTCAAAGTCATAGCTAAATTATTAGCTTCAAGACTCAAGAAGCTTATTGGTAGGCTGATCTCTAAGAACTAATACGTTTTCTTGGGCAAAAGACAAATGCTTCATGGAGGGGTAGTTTTGAATGAAATAATGGATTATGCTAAGAGAAACAAGAGAGAATGTTTAATGGTGAAAATTGATTTTCAAAAGGCCTGTGATTGTGTCTCTTGAAGTTATTTGAGACACATCGTTACAAAAATGGGGTTTGAAACTTATTGGCTTAATTGGATGGGAGGGTTGGTTTTCACAAATTTAATGACATTCCTTATGAATGGTATCCCTACCTTAGATTTTGAGGTCAATAGAGGTTTGAGGTAAGGGGGTCCTCTTTTTCCCTTCCTCTTTTTGTTGGTAGGAGAAGGTCTAGCTAGGTTGATGCATAAGGCCACTAGCTTAGGTGATTTTTCTGGATTCCATGTGACCGAGGAAATTCATTTTAATTACTCCAATTTGTTGATGATACTATTGTTCTATGTGATGGTTTCTGGAAAATTTTATGGAGTCTAAAAGGCATCTTGAAGGGTATGAAGATGATCTCAGACTTTTGGTTAAAACTTTCAAAAAGTAGAATTTTTTGTATCAACCTCAAATATGACTTCATGCTTGTTGCAACTTCTTTCTTAACTTGTAGCAATGGCTCAATCCCCTTCTCTTTTCTAGTTATTCAGGTTGCTATTTATATTCAAGCTAGTTTCAACAATACCATTGTGACTGTTACAGATGTACGAGGTCGGTGATTTCTTGGTCCTCCGTCGGTTCATGTGGATTCAAGGGTACATGAAGGGGGGACACCATTTTCCACTCAAACTGCAGTAAAGCGGCAAGAGCAAAAGAAATGAAGTATTTTTTTCGAGAAATCTATCGTCTCCATAGGGATCAATGCAAGGGAAAGAATGTCATTCAACAGTTTCCATGTCTCTGATGCATAAATGCATTCTTAAGAGAGAAGAGAACTCGTCCAAATTGAATTTCATCTATCCACCAAATACTTAAATGTATTACTCAATTGTACTCAACCGAGATTACTCGTTAATATCACCACGTATCACTCACAACAAAGGTTATGTCTAACGCAAAGTTGAGATACCAACCATTTTGATCTCGTCGGTGATGTCTCGCGCAACTCAACCAACACATAGGCATTAAGAGTCGATACCCACTGTGATTACTAAGTATGAATCTATCTCTTGAGTCTAGAACCTAGCAAATATTCATCTAAGAACAAGATTTGAGGAGTATATGTCTATAGCAACTCAAATCTAAACAAAAAGCAAAAACAAGGATAAACATCAATATTGATTTGTAAACTAGATTTTATACAATGTCACGAGCAACAAATATATACAAAATGAGTAGACTTACATACAAAACCACAACAAATGAGGGTATAAATATAAGAAATAAGAAGATGAACAAGAATCTCTCGGGTTGTCAACTCCGATTGAAGTAAACCCACCTCTGATCATCAAGATGCAACCCTAAATATTATTTTCTAAGCTCTAACATCAAAGAATAAAGTTGATGGAGTTGGAAGGAAAAAAATACCCAAACCATGCCCTAAAAAATGATGTAAAAGTGAATTTAAAAAGTTTCTAAGTCGCAGACCACGCTAAGCCTGCTCAGAAGGCGCTTAGCGTGCGACCTGCTGTTGTGAAAAAAATTCAGCTCTAGTTTTCGCCATAACTTGAGAACCGTAACTCTGATTTACGTGGGGTTTGTAGTGTTGGAAAGTCTATTCAATGATATATATTAAAATTACTAAATATCATTGCTTGAATACCTACAAAAATAAGATAAAAAACAATCAAACTCAATGATATTTATATGAACCGATAAAACTATACTAAAATACTAACCAATTACTTATTTACACTAAAGTTGAGGTTATTGCTAGAAAAACTAATGGATCAAGCCAATAGGTACCAATTATTCACACTAAAAAACACCATAATTTGGAATTTATCAACTCTCCCCAACTTAGAACATTGTTTGTCCCCAAACAAAGGTCTCTCCAACTTTAAACAAACAAAAAGTGTTAGATCCACGATTTTAGGATTGACAACAACTTTGCTAAAACATGGTTCATGACAGATGTTGAGCAAGATGTCATAATATTTTAATCTGACTGCTACAATAGAGTGTAAAGGTTACACTAAAGACAAATGTTCTACAAGATGTCGTAACATCCTGAATCAGAACATCAATACAAGTTGTTTTAAATCTTGACAAATTTGATTTGAATTTGTGATATCTCTTTTGGATATATTATAGATATTTATATACGTCAAGAGGATTGAATCTGGAATAAGTGAATCAAATCTACAACAACATTAAAGTTTCTAAAATTAGATGTTGATATAATTTAGAAATCTTAAATATTTGTTCTATGATTTAAGGAGATTTTTTTTGCATAAATGGTGAAGTCCTTAGCTTGTGGATCAAGGAATATTTGAGTGAAGATTTCGAAGCCCATAGATTACTAAGGAGTATTTATAGAGAAGACCTAACCTAATGTAACTTAACTTTCACAATTGTAAAATTAGGAGATGTCTTAAGTCTTAGATTTTGAGAGTCTCTTGTGTTCTTGTGTTTGTAAGTCATCCTTGTATCTTTTGGTACTTGTGGTAGACATATTGTTCTCACTTTGAAGCTTTTAAGCAAGAGTTTAGTATTGTTCTTGGATGAATCTTTTAAGGAAAACTAAGTATTGTTCTTAGTTAAGAGTCTTAACTAAGTATTGTATTGGAAGTGTATTCTTCTGCTAAATTCTTATTCTAATCACAAGGTTTGTGGTTGTAGGTATGTCACTGCGGTAATTGAAAGTGAGAGGGGGGTCTCATACCTAGATGGTGATTTCTAGGTAGAAGTTATACAAGTTATGTATTAGGAGAAAAGTTGTAAACTGGAATTGTTTAGGCTTTGAACTAATATTATCATAGTGAATTTCCTTCCTGGCTTAGTAGCCCCCAGAGTAGGTGACGTTGCACCGAACTAGGTTAACAATCTGTTGTGTTTTTTTATCATTATATAATTTATTTTTCATTTTGGTATTATTATGTATCAGGAATATATGTCACAATATTTGTCTTAACATTATGTTCTAATGTTGGGTCATCAGTATTAGCATGTGTTGCAAGTGTCGGAATTTCAATTGGAATAAGAACAGAAACCCTGGTTTATTGGGTGAGCTTCACGGAGATATTTTTCTAGTACTATTTGTCACTTGAAAATTAGAGTGATAGAATTATGAAAATCAATGGACAATAGAACTTTGAAGTTTGTCAGGTTAGAAGAATCCTGATGTTAAGAAGACAAAAGGAAAGAGTATGAGTTGGTTCTCTATAACTTTGAAGTTGTCAATACCATAATCAATAGAATTGATAAGTGTTTGTTCCATACTTATAATCACTTGTATTATGGCTAAAGATATTTGGGAATTTCTCAAGTCTACTCATAAATGCACATCTAAGTGTGTTATGGAAGAAAAGAGTCTAGATGTGAGGTTGATCAAGAAGAAGCTCCTCTGATCTCTGATCAAGAGGTTTGACATGAAAGTGACAAGCCATTGAAGAAGAATAAGAGAATTCTTGTTGTTTCCAACTCTATAGGAGCTTGTGTTATGGTCTCTAATGAAGGGTTTCTTATTATTTTTTTGTTCCTTCGAAGGCAATCCAACCAATTTTTGAGGAGAACGAACAGAATGTCTAGACCAAATGTCCAAAACATATG